AAGAAAAGTGGCGCTGACCGAGGTTCAAGATTCTATAAAAATTCGAGGTTGAATCTTCTTTAAAAGAGAGGGAATAATGTGATATCGACCAGCACGATATTCAATTTCCGCGGTCCAAAAATGAAGAGTCGAATTTATCGATATAAGAATCAAGCAACTCAAGCAAGCTGCTCAGTTTACGTGACGTTGCATGATGATTATTTGGGGGTTAATTATTCATTGAAGTTCAAATGGTTGGTGGAATTAAAGGTTACTTGTGTGTGGAGATTAAAATGGGATGTGAATGATGGTGGGTTGCAAAGATTAATTATGCTAGTTTATATGAAGGCAAATTACATGGATGCATTATGTGCCATGCGAGTTATTGGGACAGAATCTCAATTCTGTAAAAAAAAAAAAATCTTTGGCAGAAAAACAAACTTGAATTCAGCCAAAAGGCAAGGTGAAGAATGCGCAACGGTGCAATTTTGGGATGATTTGTTTAATTATTTATTTTGGTTATGTAGAAGTTTAATTAGTAGTTTTAGTCCTTATTTAATTAGTATTAAGTTACCTAGTTACTTTGGTATTGGTTTTTCTACTCCCAAAAGGTTAGTTTTATATTTTTGTGACCTTTATAAATAGAGGATGTAAGACCTACGAAATTTGTACACACTACCCAATATTCAGAAATCAAGTTATAGAGTGTTTACTCATGTTCATGCAAAATCTTTATGTCGAGGATTCCAAGAGCTTTTCATGTGTCTCTTATCAACTAAGAATGCGTCTAGTTGTGGCGAGTATCTACCTAAGAGCAATTGGTCTTAGCCACGAGTGGATGATTATTTGATTGGTTTCATAAACCAATTGGCCTTCACACGAGTTGAGATCTGTTTGATCGTGTTCCACCTTATCCTTCATTTTTTAGTTCAAGAAAGGAGAAATAAAAAAAGCATAAAAAGATCGTTGAAGTTGCGTACTTTGGTCATATCATCTGAGTTCGAGGGTTCTCTTCGGATTTGAGTCACATCAGTCCAGTAACAGAGATTCATGTCACCGACATCAAAAGAATGTGATTAGAGGTGGCAATTAGGATCCAAATCCATGAATCCAATCCAATCCATCCACCAAATTATCCACCTAATCCAATCCATTTAAATCCAATCCATTTGATCCAAATCCAATTGGATTGGTGGATTCATGGATCAATCCATGGATCCAAATGGCAAATTACGATTTGGTACCTATATTTTTTATATTTTTACATTTTGGTACCTAAAATTTATATTTTTATACGAAAAATATCATTGGAAAATTACGTTTTGGTACCTAAAATTTTTCATTATGACATTTTAGTACCTAAACTTTTCAAATTTACATTTTGGTCCAAACCTTGGATGTTATTTGGATTCATGGATCAATCCACCAATCCATTGAATCCAATCCATGAATCCACCAATCCATTGGATCCAATCCATTTGATCCATGGAGCCACGAATCCACGAATCCGATCCAATTGCCACCTCTAAATGTGATCCAAAAGGATAACTATGTCCCTTGTCCGCAAGGAAATTTACAACAACATTGCTTTCCATATAAACATTATCATTAGAGACTTCCTAACCAAGATTAATTAAGTTTCCTATCTAAGTTGCCACCAAACCATGCCTAAGGTTCGAATCCGGGCTTCTTTTGATAATTGCAATAGCTCTGGTAGAATCCAAATTAAGTTTCACCTTTCTAAAGCCTCCTATCCAGGCTCTTTTAAACCTTTAGCAGCTACTCAAAGCTCGACACGAGTATCCGAACAAGTTCTCAAGTTCTTGATAAAAGCCTCTAAGCAGTGCCCCAAATGATCTCTCAGCAAACCACCTGCTGCTTGGCTTGTATTAGGGAGTTCAGATCCTTCAGTCTGCACCTATATCTATCCTTCCTTGGGAGGCTTTCACCTAACATCGACACTTATTCTATTCATACAGCAGTTCATTATGCTCCTGGCCACTTTCCCTTAATATCTTTCCACTATGTCCTGCCATGCAAAGATTTTCTGGATCAATCCTATCTCAAGATACCTCTTCCCATCCATGACCTCTTCCTTCCTCTACTTCCATGTTAGCTAGCACAAGATCCCAAACTTTATATCTTTTTTCTTTATGCTGCAAGTTCTTCGGCAACCACTCCTATAATGGGATCATATCGTCACCACATGTGATAGTACTCTTGAAGAAATGTCTAGCTCCACTCGTCTTTCTGCATCTTCAAAAGATATGGTCGACTATTTTCTCGGCATCTTCACAGAAGTTGCAGGCTCTATTTGTGGCCAGCTTCTTCTTGATTCTCTCGTTGTTAGTTAGGAGTTTGTTGTGTGAGACAAGCCAAAGAAAATGCTTAATGCAGCTTCACCTCTTCCATTTCCAAAAAGTTTTCCGTTCTCTCCATAGGTTCTTCATCAACAGTGTCGGTAACCATCTGATAAGCTGATTTCAATGCCCCATATGGTTTTGTCCTCTCCTAGCTCCGGTTTTGGCCGATCCATCCCTATAAATCAATGTAGTGAAAAGCGCATTTCTATGTAAAAATATTTTGATAATCTAGAAGTCTAAAATTGTAAACTTTTAAATTTTAGAACATAGTTTTTAACTATATTACTTATAAAAATTGAGATTATACATAGAATGATTTTTAGTGACCTAGAAGCTTTAAATCCATAATCGAAAATCGAAATGGTTCTTTTTTTAGGAAGGTCGAAATCCGTTTGTCCAAACAACTCCTCAACAATTTTGGAGAGAAAAAATCCCTGCCACGTCCATTATGTTCTCTCGTCGGGTCGGGCAGCTAGGATCTGGCCCATTTGTAGAAGCCCACTTCCACCAATCTATCGAAATTTTGGGAGAACGCCGCCATCATCATCATCCCTGACCTTGAGACTCTTTTAGTCTTTTTGTTATGACCACGGCCTATAAATCAATCGGATTGGTTCCCGCACATACAGACTGCAGCGGGATTAGGGTTTCATTTGCGTGCATCCTTCTCCCTTCAATTCTTTGTATTCGTATGTGTGTTGATCCTCGGAATGTGGGCTTCTTCTTTATAAGCATAGTAAGCGGAGCCCTTAAGATCGCCTTCCAGATTACAAATGGAAGCGTTTTGAGTCATAGCTGCGCCAAATCAAATCTTCATTCTCTGGGTACTCTTTAGGGTTTTCCTATAGAGTTCCTTATTGCCTTCTGCACTCTGGTTTAATTCCGAGGCGTTTTCTCCATTCGTTGGATTATGGTAGGCTCCTGGGAATTGAATTTCCGTCTCTGGAAAATTTCAATTGGTTCCGAGTTCCAGCTCCAATATGAATTGTATACGCCTCGCTCTGATGCGGGGAACATTCCAAAGTGGGCAAAGTCTGCAACTTTATTCATCTGATTGGTGTTGGTATAGGTTCCGTTTGATTTGCCTGCGTTTATTCCCGTTTGAATCGCCGATTGAGACGTACTATGATCCTGCCTTGCTATATCACATATCAATTCAATCCTGCTCTGCAGTCTTGTTTGAATTTTTTGCAGTGTTGCTTTGAACATGTGCGAGTGGGATATCTTTACTTTGAAAATATTAGGTCGATGATGATAGAACTTAAGGCTTGTTTCTCAAGACATTCGCAGTGGCCGCCTAAGAGCTTTCGCCTTTCGCCGGGCTTGAGAGCTAGTGCTGTATTTATTCCTTCCTTGGATGTCTGAGACCTCTGTTATTTTCAAAGTTGGCCAACTCTATTTAGTACTCTGTTTTCTGTAGGTAACTTTAGCTGAATGAAACTGGAGCAACCAACTGTTATTTTTTCTCGTTCTCTTGTCTATGATGATAGACCCAAAGGCTTGTTTCTCAAGACATTCGCAGTGGCCGCCCAAGAGCTTTCGCCTTTCGCCGGGTTTGAGAGCTAGTGCTGCATTTATCCTTCCTTGGATGTCTGAGACATTGAAGAGATTAGGAAAACCACTTGGCTTGCTTTCAACTTTTTTTTTGGAACTATATTTTCATATGGTTTGTTACAACTGCCCAAGGAAGCGTTAATTTTGTACAATAGTTTATCATCACTCTTTTGGACGAGATGCGATTTGAATGACTGAATGGTGGTACCCATCTGTTTATGTCTTGGTCCTGTCTGTGATGATATCTCCAAAGGCTTGTTTCTCAAAACATTCGCAGTGGCCGTCTAAGAGCTTTCGCCTTACGCCAGGCTTGAGAGCTAATGCTGCTTTTCTCCTTCCTTGGATGTCTGAGACTCATTGTGCATCCTATAAAACACTTTGTATCAATGCGTAATTTGCATCTTATCTTTGGTGCAAGTCTATTCTTTTTTCGCTTTCAAACTATTGATTATGCTGTGAGCTTGGCTTATTGCAGGCTTTTGAGGGATGCTGGCTCTTCAGTTTTGTGCTAGAAGCTGCAGTTGGTCTTGTGTTTGCCTGCTGATGACCTTTTGTTGGCTGCTGGACTGATGTTTGCCTGCAGGCTGTTGCATTTTCAATTCAAGTGCCACAATTCAGGGCTTCTCTCTGTTTCCTTTCCAATTCAAGTGCCACAATATAGGTCTTCTCATGGTGTAGAAAAGATGTAAATCTGACATTGTAAGGACCAGTGATTCAATAGATTGAACAGAAATGAAACCTTTTGTGATTTTTATATTATATTCCATCTCGGTTCTCCTCCTGTTCGTGATGAAGTGTCTCAGAGTACTGAGCTAAACAAATTATAAGTCGGCAATCAATTTGGTCCATCAAATTACCATCTGAAATCACGGATCAATCGAAAGAGAAAGGATAAAGCTTGGTTCTTGTTCTGATGCTCGATGCTCAGCAGAAACTGTGCTGCATTGCACTCTTTTGACAAACCGTTTCACGAGCTAGCAAAAATTGCTCAATTGTTTCTCTACCACACATCGCAACCCAAATCAAACTCAAAAAATTATTCCACAGGCAAAAAAAGAAGAAGAAGAAGAGGCAAGGAAGAATTAACGCCGTGAGTGAAGTCAGTTAGTCGAGAAACCCAGTTTGGCGAAACACGGCGTTCCTAACCTGTCTGAGATCCCTCCCCTTGAGAGTTCGCCCAACTCCTTCCAACATCGAAGAGGACGACTGCATCCATCCCCTGGCCACGATCTCGTGCGGCGGCAGCATCATCTCTTCATCTCCACCAGTCAGCCCTTCCTCGTACTCTTCCTTGAACCTGCTATTCCTCTGTTTAGCCATGGCGATCGACAACATCGGCACCTTCATCGGAGCCGATTGCTGGAATTTCCGCGCGGGAGCCGATTGCGTCGCCTGTAGGTAATCCGGCGATGAGGACACGTTCTCTCGCTCCGGCCTCGGCACCCACGCCGGGATCGCCTTCACTGGCGACGGCAATGAGGTCGGCTTGCGGTGGAGCACGGACTGGTAATTGATCTCCGGCAGTGCCGCCAGAATCCCCGAGTTGCCTTGCTGGAAGGACACGCAGCGCCTGTGGCCGCCGCCGCCCTTGCGCTTGGGTGCCTGTTTGGCGGGGACAGCGGCGGGAGGGGGAAGTTGACCTACGTTGAAATCGTCGGTCCAGAGGACGTCGTCCTCGGTCAATTCGTCCCCGATCCCTTCGCCATCGGCTGCCGCGGATGGAGAGATCGTGACGAGGAATCGGCGGCCGGCGTCGGCGTCCATGAATCGGAATCAGAGGATCACAACATAGAGAGCGAGCGATCGAGGTATATAAAGGGGCGGAGAATTGGTGAGGAAAAGAAGCGATGTGGCGGAGAGTCGCTGACAGTGGAAGTAGTGGTAGGGGGGAGTGAGGCAGGGGAACAAACGGTGCCGTATAAAAGGAAGGGCAGTTGTTGCCGAGACCTGACGTGGCGGTTGGCACTTATACAGTTATACAGGGCAAATAAAAGCCTCGTTTATTTGATTTAAAACAAAGCCGGAAAGGATGAAGCAGTAAACGATGTACCATTATCATTAATTAATCATCCTTATATTAAATTATCTGTGGATTAATTAGCATTTTAAATGCAAGATAGCATATGAATGAGGCCCTCCAATCCATTAATATTTTGAACACACAAAAAGCCATGCCTCTCTTCACTTTCACTCTCCTTACACTTGACTTGGTCGTTCAGTCAACACAACCTAGGGAGGATAATGACCAGAAGAAGTACCCCATTTCCCAATGCAAATTTTAATTCTTAACCAATCCTTATGTCTTTCTTTTATATATTGTTTCTTTACTATTTATTTTGGTAAAGGTCTAAAATAAACAATAAAACAAAAACTAGACCAAGTGCTGAAATTTTCAACTCTTCTCTCTATAAATTTTTATATTTATTCAAATGCTTTTATATACATCAAGATGGTTTGCCGAAAGAAGAAGTTCGCGTTGGAATTTAAACTTAGAAACTTTGAAATTGAAAATCAATAACAATACTACTTTTCATTATAAAATAATTTTGAATTTAAAAATTTAGGAAATAAGAACTAAAAATTAAAATATGAACTTTGCTCGTCATTGTTAGCTAGGAAATGTAATTTCATAATTCAAATTGAAATATACAGACAATCAATTGGAATAGATAAATTTACAAAAATAAGAAATTGAAATTAAAATACGAACATTAAATGGAATTGAGAAATATACAAACGATAGGAATTCAAATTGAAATATACGAAATAATAGCGGACTTGATATTTATTTACAAATTAAAGAAACCTAAACTCTGAACCCTAAACCTATGAACGCTCAATCTTAAATCCTGACTTTTACCCTAAACCCTGAATCATAAACTATGAATCCTAAACTCTAAACCCTAAATTCTAACATTTAAGCCCTAACATGGGCCATAAACCTTGAACAATAAACTTGAACCTTGAACTCTAAGTGAACTCTAAGGTTTAGAGTTAGCGTTTAGGATTTAGAGGTCTAAGATTTAGAGGTTTATAGGTCTAGGGTTTGGGGTTCAAGTTTATTATTCAAGGTTTAGAGTTTATGATTCATTGCTTAGGGTTATGATTTAGGGTTTAGCGTTTATTATTAGGGTTTAGGACATGATTTCAGGCTTTAGGTTAAGTTTTCCTAAATTTGTTAATTAATATCAACATCGCTATCGCGGTGTATATATTTCAATTTGAAATTTTATTTAAAGCTTTTATATTTCTTGATTCCAATTTAACAGTCATATTCTAATTTCAGTGTCTCAATTCCAATTTAATGTTCGTATATTCAATTTCAATTATGATTGTTAACGTTCGTATATTTCTCGATTCCAATTCATGTTTGTATTATGCTTTCAGTTTCTAGTAGGGATGACAATCGTTTAGTAAGCGGGTAACCGGTTATTGGTATACCGACTAGCATGAAACTACCCCTCTTTATTGTTACAGGGTGGCAGTCAAGCAAACCAGCAAACCGGTTTTTCAGTTAGTAAGTCGGTTACAAGTGTTGTGAGGACGAAGGGAAATTGAGCAGCGCCTCGCCGATCCGATCCTTAAAAGTTGCCCCCGAAAACCCTAAATCCCTAATTGTTAATCAACTCCATTCCCCCAGCAATTAGCCAGAAGCTCTATTATCCCTCCGGTGGCTCTAGTCAACTGTCGTTTGTCGAAGAGAATCAAAGGGAAGGAGGACCAATTTCGGATTTGAGGTGGCAGGCCTCTCTTCTCCTCCCTGTTACATACAAGTTTTTGGAGGAGAGATGGTGGTGGAAGCAATTGAATAGACTCAGTGATGATTTAGATCTGTTAATGACACTTTTGATCCACCGATGGTGGTGGAAGCAATAGATTAGATCTTTGCGACATGCAAGCTTCTCATCACTAGAGTCGCCGCTCCTAGTAGAACCTCCTATTCTTACTGCTCGATGGAGGACTAGTGGAGGTTGGCCGCTGTCGTGCGCTACTCTGTTAAAAGCAGTGGCAGACGATTATTTAGATTTGCCGGTTGGGAAGCTTTGTTCTTTGTAAAACCAGAGGATGGGGAGAGTCGACACAACCACTATTGAAGGTAAGGAGGTCAATGACGTCAGACCTTCGAAGACCTTATTTGAAGCTGAGGAAAGCGGTTGCATATGCTCTTCGTCTTGGGCTTCTTCTGACACAGTGGTTTAGTTAGCTGCATCTCCGTCCTGCGAATCAAAGTTGTCCAGTGAAAGAACCCTCTTGTTAAGGATTCTAGGGGCTGATCTTCGGCACTCGTGAGATTGGGATTTAGGGTTGAGATTAGGGATTTAGATAGGAGAATTGGGGATTAGGGATTGAAGAACAGAATTGGGGTTGGGATAGAAGAATGGCCGGCGGCCTTTAGGGAAGAGAGGGACGAGATTTGAGAGGGATTAGAGGCTAGGGTTTGAGAGATACTTTCTGTAATATTATTCTTGACTGATTATGAACGTAAGCCCAAAGTACATATATATAGGAAATAAACCCAAACCCTAATGAACTAATCCTAACCCATTCGGCTATACCTAGCCGCCTAACCCTACCTACTAACCTTATTAATTATTTATTCTACTAATTATATATTGCTAACATTCCACCCTCCTTGAAAGCGACCTTGTCCTCAAGGTTGCAGTTAACGTCCGTCTTCTTGACCTTCCGCTTTCTACGTTTCCAGTTGCGCTCAATGCCATGAATAAAGTCTTCTCGCGTAACTCCCACTCTCTTTGTTTCTTCTCCACCCATGTGACACATGTCATGTTCTCCATAGTCGAACAATTCTTCCTCCTCTCTTTCGAAGTCCACAATATAAAAGTCGGAGAACTGTTCTCCTTTGTGCTCCATAAATTTCTCTATGTCCATGGTGGTGGAGACGAGATCTAGCTTCCCCCACTCTTCTTCACTCTTGAACTGGCCCATAATGGCTTGGAAGAAAGAGTTGTGGCCCATCTCCATATGAAGCTCTTTTGAACCCCTCCTCTTTCTAACTTCATTTGGGCTTGCCTCCATTGAAAGTCCATCAGCCCACTTGATAGGCCCATCCTTTCCCCAAAAGTCCACTCCATGCACAATAGCTTCTCGCAGCCCAATTCCTTTCAAGGTTGTCTTCTTTAAGACACAGCCCATATTGGACTCAATTTCTTCAAGTCTCGGCCTAGCAATTAGCATAAACCTTTCCCAAGGAGGCGGCCCAATTTTGTTAGTGAAGCCCACTGCCTCCTTTCTTGTGGAGATTAGGTTCGGCAGCTTCAACAGGCCCGAAACGAGCCCATTCAACTCCACCTTGCTCTGTCCCAAAGCACGTCCATTCCACAGATCCTTTTGGCCCAAGTCACAACCCATCACCTCTGGCCAGCCTAGGGTTAGCCCACCTCCATCCTCGGTTGAGCGAAGATGGATGTCGTCGCCTCCCCTCGAATCCTTCGCTGACAACTCTACGCCTGATGGTGGCCACTCCCTCTCCTCTTCCGACACTTCTTTTCCCGACGGTGAGTAGCCCTGCCAACGGTACAGAGGCCAACCCATACCCGTCGCCCTCCTCAACTCCATCTCGTACTCCGGCTCCTCCACCGTCTTCTCGACGACCGGCGTTACTCCGCCTGCCGCCGTCATCTTCCTCGCGTCCTCCTCTGCTGCTGCCCGACGACCCAGAGGTTCGGCCGTCTCCGACGTTACCTTTGCCTCCTCGACGATCGACGACACAACTAGAACTGTCGTCATTTGGACGACCCGAGTTGCAGCGCCGATCTCGTGCTCCGCTTCCCGATCCGCCCTCCTTAGTTTCAGCCCCGACGAAGACTCGAGCAGCTGCACTGGGGTTTCCTTCCTCGGCAACTCGGCGGTGATCTCCACCGGCTGCGGTTGTTCACGGATCCCGGCAGCGGCTTCGACGGGTAGGGAAACGGCTCGTGATGATGGTGATGGCGGCGCCATCATAAACCCAGGGGAAACGGCGGCCGCATCTCTACTCGGAGGCTTGGCGGTGCTAAAATTGCTTCTGTTGAGTTCAGCTAGCCTTTCTTTGAGCCGTCGTGTTATTTCTTCGATCGATAGTTCGAAGCTTGACATAGTTTCAGTATGAGTCCCTGCAACCGGGCTCTGATACCACTGAAAGAACCCTCTTGTTAAGGATTCTAGGGGCTGATCTTCGGCACTCGTGAGATTGGGATTTAGGGTTGAGATTAGGGATTTAGATAGGAGAATTGGGGATTAGGGATTGAAGAACAGAATTGGGGTTGGGATAGAAGAATGGCCGGCGGCCTTTAGGGAAGAGAGGGACGAGATTTGAGAGGGATTAGAGGCTAGGGTTTGAGAGATATTTTCTGTAATATTATTCTTGACTGATTATGAACGTAAGCCCAAAGTACATATATATAGGAAATAAATCCAAACCCTAATGAACTAATCCTAACCCATTCGGCTATACCTAGCCGCCTAACCCTACCTACTAACCTTATTAATTATTTATTCTACTAATTATATATTGCTAACATCCAGTGGCGGTGTTGGTCGCAGGTGATTCTTTGATGCAGCTCTTGCATCTGCTCCTCGTCTAGGGATTCTTCATTGTCCTTTTTGTTGTCATCAACAGAGGTTCCACTGGATACAGATTGAGAAGACAGATTGAGATTAGGTTTGATTCGTCGAGTGCTCTTTCAATATCTCCTATTATGGATGGTGGTTGTGGATTTGGGGAGATAAAACCTGGATTGGGGAAGAAGAGTTGCTCAGCTGGA